TCGCACATCGCATAAATTGTTTTTAATTATATTTTTTTTTTTTTTGGTTTTTGTTAACTCAACATTTTTTATACTTTTTCTTATTAGTTTATAAGTATATTGCCTTGCATCTTGCGTTGATTGTTTTCATTCGCACCTCCATACTTCCGTTAGTAGACGCTGAGTGATTGTGTAAATTTGCCTCGTAAACCGTTTAATGCGAAAAAGAGTAGAACAAAAATTAGAGCCGCTCAACAGATTTAATTACAAACTTGAAGCGCATACTCGCAGTGAAAGTGTAAAATTAGTACATAAAGTGAACGCTTGTCTACTTTGGGAGATTTTAGGTGGGACTAGCGCTTTAGAAAGGGAAATTCCATTGGTGTTATCAGCAATTAATTAGTATTTCATTTGCTTTTTTTACGATTTTCGTAACACTGAGATAACTGAAATTTTATAACGCTCAGCAGCGCAGCTCTTGCTCACGATAGAAGTTAAAAATTTTGTTATCAGGCCAATTTTTTATAACTGCATTACTCAAGAAACATACTATATACATATGTATAAATATGCATACATATACGAAATAAAAGTGTAACTGAAATTAATCTGGCAGGTGTGAAGAACAGAATTAAAGAAAACGAAATATTTTCGGAATTTTCTCTTTCCTATTTCTATGTTTATTATTTCTGTTCTTCTTTTTTCCAAATTAATCACCAATTATTAAAATGCATTAAATTCTGTAAAGATACTTTTCTATAATTATTTATTATATATAATTACAAAAAAAATTACAAAAAAGTAGTCTTTCTGACTCACAGGAGGTTATCACTTAATACTATAATTTTTAATATTTATATTTCATATAAAAAAGTTTAAAAACAAACTTTCATTATATGCACACACCCTAACCAAACACACTCCATATGACTTGACATTTATGTTGATGAATATTTGTGGATATAAGAATGTTATTGGCTTACAAAAGACGAAAGCAGCAGCAACAGCAGCAGCAATGGCACCCACACCAGCACCTACACAAATAATTTCCTTGCAAAGTTTTATGACACGCCGTTAGCAGTAATTCAGCTGCCACAACAGCCGCATGGTTTCCTTCATTCCCAAACTTATTTGTACATATTTTTATTTGTATTTTCGTACACAACGTGTACAAGTGTCAATGTAGGGTGCGGCCCAACAGCAAGAAGAAGCAGCGAACGTCGCCTTTGCCATTAATTTTGTTGCTGATCCTTTGCTTTGCCTTTGTACGCGTAGACGCATAGCAAAAAGACATTCGTGACAAAGAATGACACAAATATATGTAAATTGAAATGTGTGTATGTACAAGTGTGTAAATATGTGATTGCTTCATATAAAAAATGTGTATATGGCAAATGTCTCTTTATTGCGGCAACGCCACTGGAACTCCATTATAGACAGCGAGTGTAAATAAATGTGTGTGGATAAATATATTATATGTAAATAGATACATACATATGTAAATATGTTGGTATTTGCTGAAAAATAAATATGTAATATACGAAATGCATTCAACAGCGTCTGGAAATTTGTAAGTCACACGCATTCGACGAAGGGGAGCTGTGCCTTTTTACATGAGCATACACACTTAAGAATATATGTACATACATACATATATGAAGATATGCATTTATTGTACACTTGTCTATACTCACCAAAACACTTAAAGGCCTATAGTCATAACAGATATCAAGATATTGTATTCGATAGCTGTTAAGGAGATAATGTTGACATATATTTTCATTTTATTTTTCCAACAGCAGACGGAAAATATGAATGCAAGTATTCCAAAACAAAAACAAGAAAAGTAAATAAAACAAATGAACGAAAAATTATTATTCAATCATACGTACATACATACATATGTATATTTAAGCCATTATATTTTAATGTCATATTTACATAAGAAAACTTACTTTGACACATTTTTAAGTTTGTGTTTTTTTTCCATAAAAATTGTAATGAATAATAATAGATATTGTGTACACAATAAATAGTTAAATGCAGTTGACATGGTGTGGTCCATTTGCAGGCAAAACAAATTAACAAAATTTATTTGAATGATGAGTGGAGAGCAGCTCTTATGTGATACCATAAAAATGTAGATATATTACAATTACGGCATATCTAAGGCATCAGTGATGATGTGAATACAGTATAATGAAAAAAAAAAATGCATTGAAGTAAATCTTTATACCAGTTATATATGTATGTATGTTTTTGAAGAAGTCATAATAAAAAAAATAATTTATGTAATTTTTTGGTAACGTTCCACAAATGGGGGATAGCATAATACGGATATTTTTAATAAATAATATAAACATGAAGTATATGCGATAATACTTTCAGCATTTTATAACGCAAGGCATTTGGGGATGAGTCTTAAAGTTATTATATATCTGAGTAATTATTATGGACTACATATATATCATCAAAAAGTCAAGTTCAGAAATAACTCAGAAGTGATTTTTCGATTAACTCTGTATACAACTGAAATACTTATTAATATTTTTTCAGCCATTATCTTTGATTTGAGGCCACAAGTTGTATTATATACATACGT